CTATAATTAGCCGTATTCGTACCTATACAAATATTTAGTACCTATTAGCTATATGATAACAATCGATAGTAATTACTCACTTAAATACCTTTACAACAATTCAAAACAAAGCCACGAGAGAAGCACACATGCTTAATAGATCCCATAACAAGCCGGCAATTGTTATAGACCATATCAATTCAAAGGATTTCCCATATGTGAATGGTATTTTGGTTCTTTACTGCGTACTGTATTTGAGATAAACTATCTATCAAGTCGTAAGTCACAGTTCATCATCAAACAATAGGTACCTTCTTAATGAGGAACTTGTCTTTATTCTAACTTGTTCAAAGTACTTTAAGTCGTAGTCATTTGTTTTATCTCTTTAGGAAATAAGTTAGTTATAAAATGCCTATTTGTTCTAGGAGGTAATTTCTAGTAAGTACTATATTATAACAAATGAAAAACGAATGGTTGGTGTTTCAAGTACTAGGTGTGGTCTAGTCCGTTTTTCTTCATTGGAATATAATATTATATACCTTCACTTGAATCATTAACTATGATTTTGATATGATTTTTAGATCACTTATTTAAAATGAAAATTAGTTATGAAATACAGCTCAGGGAAATCTTCAACAAAAGACGACAATTGGTGGAACACAAACGTTTATTAATTAGTATTTTTACAATACGGGTGTCACATTGCCACGCTTGGCGCCAAAATTCGAATGCCCGCTTGCCCGCTCGCTCGCTCATAGACAACACAGGCTCAACTGTCAAAACTGATGACGTGACATAACTACTATATGTCGATTAATCGATTGAACGTTACAATTAGATAATTCAGGGAAATCATAACAATATACAGAAGAAGGTACCCTGAATAAGAAGGTCCACTGATCAAATAAAATTACCTACAAATGTGTCTAAAATAGTCCTCAATATTATTTTAATCTTATAATCCAACATTTATAGATTGTTGACATAAAATAGATTATAACTACATTTCTACTAAGAGAAAAGATAAAGAAAAATTACATAAGTCGCTGATTACTTCATATCTCCAAATTATTCTTATCACCAGACAGACACGTACACAAAATTCATTGTTGGCATAATAACAGGGTCCCGGGTTATCAATTAAATATTATCTACCTACCATATTTTATGATTAGTATTAAATCCTTGTAATTTCGCCTTCAAACGTCTGCAATATTTGATAATAATGTTCTCTGTTTTGCACATTTTTTATCTAAAGTACATCTCGGTAATTTGAATTTGAAAAAAAAAATTTCTAAGGACACATAACAACACATAACAATCATTAACAGTTGCCTGTGTCAAGAAATTTTCAATTTTTTTTAGAATAGAACATTCCCGAACGTACGGCGCGTTGCCTTTTGCGCGCGCCTTGCAAAGCAGACACATCACTTAAGTGGGAGCCTTAATGGGCTGAAGTTCAGCCGGGGTTGTAGGGCAAGCGCAGTAATGTACTGCGACTTGGGTGATTTTAAGTCAGCAGGAGTCTGACTACTTCCTAGCGTCACCCTGGATAATAGAACTCAAGTCATGATATGATTATTTTCCAGGTTAAAAATAGCTTAGCATTGAAGGAAAGGGGAAAGCTTGGCTTTCGGTTTCCTAAATAATACCAGCTGCTAAGCTGAAATAACATTTTTAAAAAACGAAATAGTTCAAAAACAAACCCTTTATTGTGGTTTCATCAGAACCTTTACCAAAATATATTTTCTTAAGAGACCAGTTCAATACTTTTTTCAAGATAACTTTCAAATTTTCATCTGGTAAGAATACATTACACCGCTGCTAGCGCTCACCGCGCCGAGTCACAAAAGGCAGACTTTGTTTAAATTTTTTAAATATCAGTCAATATTATAATATGATCATATATTTTTTCTACTGAAAAAAAAAAACAGAATAGACTGTTTGGTAATAATAACTTCTTTGTCTTCCTGAAACCGTAGATAGGTAAAGATATTTGCTTTGTCTAAACTAAACGATCAATTTCTTATGCAGGTCATATCATGTGCAGATTCAAATTAAAATAGGGACAATAATTCTTTGGAGGAGACTCCATCATCCCGTTAAATAGGACCTGAGACGGTGGCGCGCGTTGTGTCCACGCGCTTGAGGCGAGTGACGGGGTAGATTCACACCTCGCTTCCCTGTGCATCTTAAGGTGGGGCCTATGGAGATAGGCCGTCACGTGAGAGACGGGACACCAAGGTGATTTTTAGTCAGTAAAAGTCTGACAATCGCCCAGGGAGACGAAGGGGCTCCATGACCATTTTCCACCTTAGGGCAAAAAAAAAGAAAAAAAGAGACAATAATTCTAGATATGCGGCAGATAGAATGGCTCATATCTGTTGTTAAAATTCGACGTAACTCGGCTATTTTTGAATCTTTTTATTAGTGTCAAAATATCGGGGCATTCAAAGAGAAAAGTACATTAACAATTCTTGGCTTAGTCACTTTGTTTGTTATTCAAATAATTTTAGCCAATGTTTTTCCACGTGTTTGCGTGCTCGACAAACTTATGTAACCTTGACCTATTTTAGGGTTATTAAACGCAGTTTGACAACGAAAATAGATTTAAAAAACAAATTAATTATTCACCTACGAATCCCAGACTAATTCGATTTTAATCGTGTGTAAAAAAATGTCGACTCTAATAATACGTTTTTCCTTTTGGCTATCGTTCAAAATTGAGGTACCGATTTGGAAATGAATGCCAAATACCAGAGTTTGTTGAAATATTCGATATTTCAGTGTTTCTGTAATCTGCACATAGATGGCGTTGATAAATAAAATGCTTTTTATATGATACGGCGGCAAACGCAATCCGCGCCACCCATGGACACCCGCAATACCAGAACATTCGCAAGGGCCTTTCCGTCCTCTTAGAGGTGAGGAGATTTAGGGATAAGAAAAGGAGGGACAGGAGAGAGAGAAAGGATTGATACTGGTGGTTACCAGTCTCAATCCTTAAGCGTAATCCTCAGTAAGCGTGAAACCTCACACAGTGCGAAACACAACGCTTATATTATTTCTCGCCGGTTTTCTATGAAGCTGTGTTATCATTTCAGTCGCGCCGGCCCATTTGTGCTGAAGCATGGTTCTCCCATATTTAATAGGTTATGCATGTATTAGAACATAGATCCTTATCTGTTGTGATAAGATGCATAACCTATTGGTCATCAGGTACTAACAAGACAAGAGCCATGAAATGGACCAAGAAGGTTACGCGTTAAAGTAAAAACAGACACGTTCAATCTATCCTTTTTTCCTAATATATTCCAATCCCGTTCATTTGTTTTGGAGTTATTCAATAAAATACGCTTTAAAATTTGAATTTGACATAATAGCGAATAATAAATGAATAATTTGCATCATTTTAATAAAACCCAGACACTCGTTATCTACCCGATCTTTAAGCTATAAAAGTCCCTGTCAACATATTGAAAGACAAAAAAAGGTTAACAGAATAAATATAGAAATCTAGTCTGACGGATATTTTTTCCATTCTATTCGGTTCACGAAAATTGCCTATATGTATCTATAGTTTCAAATTCTTCAAGTGCGTTCGATAAAGTCAGAGAGAATTGTTTTTTTAATCTTTTCGGATTGAGGGAAAATCCTAACAGAGACAGACCATACTATACTATACTATACTACTATACTACATAGCTAATCTCGCGCGGTTTCACCCGCTGCTCGGCTGTATTTGATCGTAGCGTGATGTTTTATTGCCCATGGCACTCTGGAACATTTTAGCTATCTATCAGTGAAAAAATTCCGGAAATCCGACCAGCGGTTCCAAAGATTATCCCCTACATACAAACATACAAACTTACAAATTTTACCTCTTTATAATATTAGTATAGATAAAATTGATAGGCCATTTATTAGACACTGGGCAAGTAAACATTTGCGTCCTGATGTCTATGTCAATAAAGTAAAATTTAGGTAAGAAATAATGGAATAAAGTAGTGGTAGATCTACTGTTACAAAAGCTAAAGTACCAGTGATTGACCCTGCACTAGGATCTAGGTTATCGAGATCATGCAAATGACACGTGAAAAATTGTCGTATTAGATCCATAATCGACGAATTATGCTGATTACGGCTAGATCTGTTTGATATTTTTCTGCCAGACTCTTAAGATAATAATGCGTATTATTTATTTTTACTCAAATGAGCTGATATTTATTTGATTTGATAAAATAAAGTCTAGACTAAAAATAAATGATCAATGTGATTCAAAAGACTCACATGCTATATTAAAACTTAGTAGAAATATTATTCATAGTCGGTCTACATACCATTATTCAAGTATTACAATGACGAAAAATGACTTAATTTTAATTAATTATTCATACAACTCATCAACACTAATCACGTTGAGAATTCCATCAAACACATAATTTTTGGTACCAACGTCCTTGACCAACCGATGAAACAGAACTCGTTTGGTTTATTGATTAAACCTTTCCAATTTTCCGGTTCGAACTAGTTTCCTAATTGTCAAAGACAGATACATGTTACATGCATATCCTTTATGCAGTAGGTAGTATGGACAATATCATATAACAATAGATATGATACCAGACTGAAGAGAGCCTTTTTGATCCCGTTCATTGACTGGAACTCTTATCTACTGCGTAGTTCTTTGCATCTACTTCGAACAATGACCAAAAGGATTGTTCTATCTACGCTAACGTACATATTTTTTTCTTAAACTAATGCCCTATCTCTGTCTTCTTGTGGAATTTTACAGTCTATCTATCCTTTAAAGCTACCAAGTTAAGGCATTTCATTTCGTCCATATACAGCTAGTTTTGAAATGTTCAAGACTAGTATCAAAGCGGAGATTAGAATAAATTATTGGGAAGAAATGCAAGAATGTCTATCGTTATAATTTCGCAAGTCAATCCTCCTGTTACCAAAAATGAAGAAAAAATTGTCAAATTTGACATTAACGTTATATTTCTCTTTCTTTCCAGGGCATAACATGGGGCAAAGCATTCCTGATCTCAGCGGACGACAACGCAGCCTTACCTTACCTTTCCACCAGGGAATGCAAGCTCGGTGGCTACAGAACCCATACAGTCAACTTCCATCCCCGCCCCAACCTATTCGGACCATCGTCATCCTCTCTTAGTATCACAGAAAAGAAAAACGCTCTTCTGTACATCGCAGTTCCTGAAAACAAACATTGGTTAGGCGCAGCTCCTTTACCTGATATAGCGAAGCAAATTCTAGAATGCCATGGACAGTCTGGTCCAAACGCAGAATACCTTTTAAGGCTAGCAGACTTCATGAGAGAAGAAATCCCTGAGGCGTTAGATGAACACCTCTTTTCGCTGGAAAGGTTGGTCAGAAAGTTCGCTTCGGACATGAAGATCTGTTTGAGGACGCTGATGGGAGAAGAGCCTCAGGAGGAGAAACAAGAAGTGAAAGCTGTCGTGCCCAGCTACCAGTTCGCGTCCAGAATTCCAGAGAAGAAACTACGTTGTGTCAATATGTGATATGAATTTAGAACGCCATGGACAATGTGGATAGTTGTAATTTTTTAAGCGAGATTGTCGTTGTCGAGATGTGGACTGAGGTAAATAGTTATGAACATTATTTTGTAACGTTTTACTCGAAAATGTATTGAAATTGCAAATTTTTGACATTTTTGATGTAATTTCGTAACAAGTCGGCCTAACTGCGCTTTGTATGATAATACTCCTAAGTGAAATTTTGCTATGAATATTTAAGAAGGGCTGGAAGGAAATAATTTATTCACTTGTCTATGTAACGACAAAAAAAATATTATCATCACTATTTGTCTCGATGTTGCCAAATCGGGTACTAGGTAGTAATGAAATTGACATTTTACATGTGATAGTTGAATTGTTTTTGTAGAACTAATATAAAAGTTTATTTAGTGACATTAGCTTGGTTGAAAACCATTTAATATTTATTTTTATTCCAAAATCAAATTGACATTAAATTCATAAAATGACTATGCAATAAAATTATTATTATTTTTCTATTACAATGTCAAAACTTAAGTTTTGAATCATTTTGACAAATTTAAATAAAAATAAATTATTATTTAACATTTGTAAAACAAATGTCTATATTTGTAAAGCTGGACTTTACTAAAATAACTACTGTGTAATAGTGATGAGAAATGAATAACTTGTTTTGACAAAATCGAATAAATATTAAATATCGAATCCTAATGTTAATCATTTTGACCCGAAATTGATTTTAAATTATTTCCAAAGTAATTTAAAAGTTGCTTGTACAAAACTATCTAATACCTATACATATATTTGATTAATATAATTTGTAAGTAAAAATATTGACACAAATATGTATGTATATTGATAAAAATGGCATAATGTGTTTTATAACTTACTTATCTATAAAATTTTAATCCCATTGGCAGCATAAATATGTGAATTTTATTTTATATTTTATTATTAATTATTAAACCATACAAATATGTTGATATTTAAGAACTATAAGCTAGTAACATCTAATAAACAACGCACAAACAAAAACAAAACCAAATATTAATGTAATAAATAAGTATTATCTACGAATCTAGATTAATTTAAGTTTATTTTTGTGATTAAAATTATTATTATAAAAAAATGAATTGTGTTTTTATTTGTATAAAAAATGACTATAATTATGTTTCGCTGTATTGTTGATTTATTTAAATGTGAATACAAAATATGTTATTATTTTTAAATGTTATGATAATTTTCGCTAGAATCCTAAAGACTTGTGATAGGCGATGAAGAAAGTGAAGCTAATTATGAATAAATAGTGTAATTCAAACAAACCTTGTGTACGTTTAATTAGCATAATTTTTGTATAAACATTTGTATGTTAACTTAAGGCGATGCCATAATGTACTGACAAGAATAAAAATGTATGCCTATATGTATTCTATTTTATTTCTTTGAAATTCTTCGAATACTAACTGGCCCGTCCAACTGTACTAATATTATAAGAGAGGGGGTAATCTTTGGGAACGCTAGTCGAAGTGCCAAAATTCTGTCACTGATAGATAGTTAATGTTCCTGAGTGCTATAGGCTATAAAACATCATGCTACGATTATATGGAGCCGAGCAGCGGGTGAAACCGAAGTGAATAGCTAGTAGGTTATAATTATGTTCCACAAAGTTGTCTTGATTGCTTATAAAAATCAGATTATAAAAATAATAAGGTCGGCAATGTAAGTACAAAAAAATCACGTGGGCTTTGTTAACTCAGAAATAAACATAAAATATATTATAAAACTTGATATCCTATCTATCTTTACCTACTACGAAAACTTCCAAGGAGTATTTTAAAAGAATCCCTAGTGATGCTGTTTTTGAGGGTCGAAACTGTATATCCTAGGTCAGATGCTTAACACACTAGCGATTACCTATGAGACATTCTAAACTTGAAATTAGCCGTTATTTATTTATTTATTTAATAATTTTTGTACACACAGTAAGTTGGACAAGAAAAATAATACAACAATTAGGTACAAAGGCACAGCTTATTTCTTCAGAAATCTCTTCCAGCAGGCCCGTTATGGGAGAGTTAGAATAAAAAGTTGTGTAGACTGACTGTGTAAACACAATTAGGAAAAAGGAAAACAAGAATTAATAAACTACAAAAAAACAGCAAAAATATATAAATACATAACATATAAACACCAAATAATATAATATATATATATATATATATATATATATATATATATACTAATAAATATATATACATACCTATACCATTTAATACACATTTAAATATATACCTATAAATACAATAAATATTCTAAACATTTATGATAGGGAAAGATAGTGCTCTTTCAATTTGCGCTTAAAAACTGCAACAGTCTGGCAGCTCCTCAATTCGGGCGGTAACCTGTTCCACAGCCGTACAGCATGCACAGTGAAGGAGTAAGAGTAGAAGTCAGTGGAGTGGGGAGGGGTTTTAAGGACGGATCTGAGGTGACTCCTGCAGGACGCATCAGGTGACTGGAGAAAAGAAAAACGTTCCCGCAGGTAGGAAGGAGTTTTAGGATTGAAAAGGATATTAAAAAGAAGACACAAAATGCGAGTGTTCCTGCGAAGACGAATAGGGAGCCACTTGAGTTCTTTGCGAAAATGAGAAACATGATCATACTTCTTAAGATTGAAGACAAAACGAATGCATATATTTTGCAAGCGCTCAAGTTTATTCAAAAGCTCCTCTGTGGCATCCAGATAGCAGGCATCAGCATAGTCAATAACGGGTTGGATGAGAGTCTGAGCAAGTGAAATTTTGGTTTTCAAGAGCAAAAAGTATTGAAGGCATTTCAGCGTATGGAAAGTGAAGTAAACTTTGCGACTGACTTCATTGACTTGAGCTGACCACGATAAATTGGAATCAAAGATGACACCCAGATTCTTAGCTGTTTTAGCGTAGTCAATCCTAACACCATCCAAGCAAAGCGAGGGCAGAGACGCAAAATCCAGTTTGCCACGCATGTATCTGCTACCAATAATCATGGCCTGAGACTTTCTTGGGTTAATTTGTAGTCCAAAAGACTGCGCCCATTCACCAACCATATTCAGGTCATGATTCATGGCAACAACAGCAGCCTGCGCATCAGCTAGGGTAAAATGTCTGTAGAGCTGTAAGTCGTCCGCATAGAGATGGAAGTGGGAAGTAATGACCTTAGTAACAGAGTCAATGAAAATAGAAAAAAGAAGAGGAGAGAGAACACCACCCTGCGGTACACCCGCAGTAGGATTGCACCAACTAGAAGTTAAGTTATCAAGGCGGACACACTGCGTACGGCCTCTCAGATAGGAATCAAACCAAATTAGGGTGGAAGGGGAAAAATTTGCAGTTTTCAGGATAGCAAGGAGAATATCAAAATCAACAGAGTTAAAGGCACTGCTGAAATCGAGAAGGACTAGTAAGGTGAGTGATTTATTTTCCATCGCAAAGCGAATATCATCAGTGACCTTCAACAAAGCTGTTGAGGTGCTGTGACCTGGCCTAAAGCCAGACTGGAAGGGACTCAGTAGGTTCGTCCTGGCCACAAACGCAGAGAGCTGACAGTGAACCAGATGCTCAAAAACTTTAGAAAGGTACGGAAGAATAGAAATAGGTCTAAAATCAGCTAAAGCTGTGGGATTTGAAGATTTTGGTAAAGGAATAATGATGGCTGCTTTCCACCGCTCAGGAAAGGAACCGGAGAACAAGGAGAAATTGAAAATATGTGTCAGGACAGGTAGGATAGAGGAAAGAGTAAGGGATATCATTCTCGAACACATGCCGTCACTGCCAACTGCATCAGACGAGATAGCGAGGACAGACCTCCTCACATCATCCTCAGTCACAGCACACCACTCACAAGGTGAACCATTTGGCATCGACAAACCAGAAAGCTTGTCCAGTGTACTGGCTCTGACGGGCGCACTCAAACGAACTGGGGGAGAGGAGAAGTAATTATTAAGTGCACACACGTCAATGTCCCCACCGGAAGCAGCAAGAGCTTTGCCAATGCCTACCGATTTTAAAAATCTCCAGATCTCCGCAGAACTACGATTATCGAGAGAATTGTGGAAGTAGCGTCTCTTAGCATCTCTACACATTCGACTACAGCGGTTACGTAAGCTTTTATATGTCATAAGATTGCGCTCAGATGGACCACGCTTCAGCCTCCGCTTTGCCTTATCGCGCCTAGCCATCAATTCCTTAATGGCAGGTGTAAGCCAGGGGGCCGGAGTAGTTTTTACTTTTATTCGGCGAATAGGAGCATGGTTGTCGAACAAACGCAGAAATTTTGTGTCGAAATAGTTCACCATTTCGTTGATGCAGGAGCTCTCAAAAATACAGGTCCAGTCTATGAGATCCGCATCACGCTTCAGTGCCTCCAACTCAATACCCTTGTAATTCCGAAGTAAAAGGTACTGAGGCTTCCGCTTGGGAGGACGAACCAACTCTGTAAGATAAGAAGATTAGATCGTGGAAGGAAAAACAAGCAGTAAGCTGTCCGTGGGAAGTTACATTATTAATCTTAGATACAATCATAAGATCCAGCAGGGAAGGAGTGCAATTAGGAAAGTGGTGAGTAGCCGAGAGTGGCAGAATATTAAGATTAAAAGAAGAAAGAAGAGATTTAAGTTTATACGCCCGACTGTCATCCTTAAAAAGGCAAGTGTTGAAGTCGCCCATCACAACTATATGCTCGTACAATGGGCAGTATTCATTTAGAAGCGAATCCAACGTGTCAAAATAATTGATTGTAAGATTAGGGCTATAGAGTACTCCAAGGAGCATCTTGGTGTGATTTAGAATTACTTCAAGAAAAAGATACTCTGCTGATTCCGAATACAGGGAAGGGGAGGCACCGATGATCTTATGAGGTACATCAGCTCGCAAGTACATGGCAACACCCCCACCTCCCTTACCCGTTCTGTCGTTCCGAACCAGAACATATCCAGGAAGGGCAAAGTGTGCAGACAGGAGCGAAGGTTTCAGAAAGGACTCTGATATCAGTAGAGCATCCAGGCAAGCACTGTCGATAGATGCCAGAAGGTCGGAGTAATGGCTAGGAACACTCTGGGCATTTATATGCGCAATATTGAAATTATTAGGATAAGGAGATAGAAGTGTGGAAATCTGTTCACCCAACGTCAAAGGAGCAGAAGAATCACCATCCGCACTGATGAAACTGCCAGAAGTTGAAGAGCACGAGAAGAAACTATCATCTAGATTAATCTCACTCATAATAGGCAACTAAAAATATAATTATCGTATAAAATAAAAATAATAAAATAAATATATATATAAAATTAGGCTAGAAAAAAAAGAAAAAAAAACCAAAAGAAATTAAATTTCAATTAAAACTTATGGCTATTTTAACTCGCCCATACGCTACGAGGAAAGATTTAACATACAATTAAGAGGATAATTAACAAGGAATATAAATAAAGACAAATTTAAAATACATATATCACCTACCCTATTCTTCAGTCAGAAAACCGAAAATAACAGTATAAATAATTATTAAATAACAGAGGGTGGCAACATTTACAAAACAAAAACGTCAATGTCAACACCAACACTCAGCTTGTCATTGTCACTGTCAAAAGTTTCAATACAACAGTTCAAAGAGGTTATAGAAAAATAAATTATAGTTATATGTGTATTATGAAGAGAAACAATATTTAACAAACTACCGGCGTAAGATAAATTAAAAGTGGTGTTATCAAAAGGTGTACCGACATTACTCATACACGCACCGTTATAAAACACTCGAGAAATAACTAAAAAATAAAGAGTTTAATGCAGAAAGTTTACTAACAACCAACTTTTAGCGACGTGTCTTCCTGAGGTTCCTTGTTTTCTTGGTCGGATCTTTAGATGCCATGCCAGGCGCTGAAGGTGAAGCGCCGCCGGCCTCAATCGCTGGTTCGACATTAGCAGGGAATAAGGCTATGAGATCGTCCAACTCACCCATACTGGAGATCTTACGACGAGACTTATCAGCAACTTGGACGATAATCTTGCCCTCCGCAGACCAGCAGCTGCTTATTCCAAAGTGCTTGCGAGCGGCCATGAAAACTCGGTGTCGAGTCCTAGTGAGAAACTCAGATAGCATGACACCAGAGCCCTTCAGCGAAGTTTTGCAATCCCACAGAACCCGACGATGCTCCATGTCCTTGAGGCGAACTAACACAGGCCTGGTTTTACCCTGAGAGGCTCCAAGTCTATGGCATACCTCAAACATGTCAATACTGGCATCATCCACCCCCATGTGCCTGACAACAATCTCCAAAACTGTCTCACTGAGCTTCTCATTGGCCTTTTCCGGAATTCCGTGGAACAACAGGATCTTTCTTCGCATGGCAGTTTCATGGCCATCAAGAGCACGAGAAACAAGCTCAATTTGGGATTTCAGATGACTCAGCGTCTGACATACAAAGCTCTTGAACTCCACAAACTCCGATGAAAGTGTATCAATCTACCTACCTTACAGAAATTCATACTCCGAGTAAGCCTTATTCTAAGCTTCTTTGTTTTAAAATTCTCACTTTCGCATTGTTCAATTAGAGAATCTGAGCGCCATCTACCATAAATAAAGTTAACCCAACAACACGCCTGCAGACATCTATTGACAGGTATCTGTTACAACTACTGACTGATATCAAAAAGTGTACAGTGATGTATGTAGATGGCGCTGTAACTAATATTTGTTATTTCAGCAGGTTACAAACAATATTTTAGTTAAAAAAATATTTTTCAGTATTTATATTTGGTCAAAAATTTGAAATACAAATAAAAATGGACAATCTCGAAAAGAATACGGAAAAGTCTACGGAATCCTGCCAGATGCAGTATCTACTCTTTGTTTGGTTAGCAAAAGTGAAGGAACCATTTCTGACCAGTTTATACCATATTGGCTTGGAGCATTATGATATTTTACCAAGGCGTAAATTTTAGAGGGCATATGGATAAATTAAAATACAAAAAAATACATTCGCACTATAAATCTTTATTTCATTAGATATTCTTACAACTCCATTTTAACTCACACATCCATCAAATATACATAAAAGGACCGCCATAGTAGTTACTAAAACATAATTCAAATACTTTGTGATAAGGCACAATACTCAGATAAAAATAGTCATAAAAAGATTAAAAATAAATGACTATAAAATATTTAAAATACCAATAACGGTGATGCCATAAAATTAATAAATATTATAATGCAATAATAATTATTTTAATACTTCACAATTTTTATTACAACTTGCAAAAATTCCCATCGCGATTCCCAATAGCTGGAATCTTATGACTACTTGACCCAAAACTCATCCTTTCCAACTAATAAAATCAAATTCCTATCTACTATTTACAAGATAATCTCTTAATAATTTCTTTTGCTAATTGGTTACACGTTTTTATAACTAAAATAATAATTATAATTAAGTACAAAAAAGATTTGGTGGTGAAATGCATCCTATAAAAAGACTTGACAACTAGTCTGTGGTTTTAAATCTAAGAAGTCAAAATGGGAAATTCCCATTGACTGGGAAATGGACTTAGGTAGTAGGAAAAAATCCTAAGTATTTGTAACTTACGTAACTATCTGTGTAATTGTTTTGAATACCTAAGTAAATGTAACAGCCATTATATTTTGTGATAAATCCTTAATAAAAAAAATACTTACTTAAAAAAGGACAATACTTATTATAGAAATCTTCTCCATTCTTTTCAAAACAGACTAGATGTTATTTTTAGTCGCAAAAATTGTGATTTATAACATCGCCTCATAAAATGCTTTAAAACTTCACAATACCTAATTATTTTATAATAACATAAAATAAAAACACAAACTTTGGTACTAGAATATTTACATTTAACCCCAAAGGAAATTGTATTCCTAAAATATATGTATATTTACATACAAATATTATGCAATACTTTGTTTCGCATTTTGTGTAAAAATACAATCTTAAAGCTAAATAAATACGTAATCTAAACAACATAAAAATATCTTAATACGTCATGAAAAACACGTCACATTGTTTTTTTTTTGATCATGATATTTCACTTCATATATGTAGTTATTTTGATCCAAAGGACCACATTTAGCCAGTCATCCTAAGCTAAAAATTGGACTAAAATATATTTTTGAGAAGGCTTCCATCTTTCCTTGCCAGCTAAAGTAAATGAGGAAATCGAAAGGCCTATCTAAAGACCTATCTAAATATCCAAATAAAGACCTTATCTAAGACGAATAAGGTCTTAAATAGTAACTAGTAATAGAGCCTTTAAAATCCCTTTTTGAAATGAAACTGCACTCGCATTTCACGCTCATTTCGTTAATTCCAAAAAATCGATACAAAAATCGATTAAAAAACTTCAGTCAATATTGTAGCATTAGTACAATTATGTCCAAAAATGTTAGTCCCATTCAAAATAAACTTATAGGAACTGAAAGCATGGATCATTGCTTCATCATTGCATGGATCATTGTGAATTCAAACTAGTAGAGCTTCTCTCAGTAAGTTCACGTAAGTCTTTATCTTCATTCTCACGATAATTACTATTCATAAACTCTCAAATTCATTGTAATATACTAACTATAGATTATCAAATACAATACAATTCATATTGGTGGGTTCAATATTAAGTTTATCTATTCATTGATAGTAGCAAACAGTATCTAATGAATCCCTGAATATGAGTAACAAAACGCTCGCCCAGTGCTCTGAGTACCTAATTTCAAATTTCGTACGTAAGGACCATGATTTTTTGAGTATCGATCGATATTGATATTCGAGGGGCTAAGAGTCGTGGTACTTTCTTAAACTGTTTCATCGTTATCATTATCATCATTAGCCGAAAGATTACCATTGGTAAATATTATAATAACACTAATAAAGGCTTAGTTCTCCACACTAAACGGTAACTTGCCTGTCTCCAATGGGTACCTGCTTCTCTGGGGATATTGTCGATCTACCTAGCAGCAGAAGGAGGTTTGCTCATGCGGACGGCCTTGAGGTCCTTGATCTCTTTACGTTTATTAAAGAAAGTTAAATTTGGTTTTCTAAGACCAAATCAAAATGTCTCAAAACAGGTGTTCCATCCAAGGTCAAACACTAATTAGAAATCATAATATACAAAGACTATCAACACCAGTAATATAACTTACGACACCACATTTTTAAATCCTCTTACAAAAACATGCTACACTTGTAAGTAATACTGTTCATTGCTACTTCCAAAAGTCTACTTGATGAAGGGGAAATCACTATCACTTTCGTCTCCTGAGCCATCGTAACTTGATGGTGGAGTGTCCAGTTGTGGTAGACCAAGGTCCAGGTACTCTTGGTTGGCGGTCACTGTAAGGATCTTGTCTAGATCCTCCACAAGCTCCGTGAACGAGGGTCTGTCTCCTGGAGAGAAGGACCAGCACTCGCGCATCAGCATGTATCTGTGGATGAATCGGTTTTTTTTTATTTTCTTAGATAAAACGTTGGCCCTCATTAGGATTTTTTCCTGTGTCGTGGGTCCGGTTACAAACATACAATTTCACAAACACATGACACCCAGACCCGGAACAACAATTTGTACATCGCACAAGATTTTCCGTGCAGGAATCGAACCCGCGACATGTTGCACGACAACCAGTAGTAACATAATCTGTCCATTTCACAAGGGTATTTTATGATTGCTAGTCAAAGTAAGCTTTCATATTATAAAAGGCCATGTCTTTACGAATAGCGCACATTTTAGGGAAGAAAAGAAAGCCAGCGCCTTTGGATGCATTGCCAGGATCACAACAGATTATCGGTAGTTTAGGTATTTATAACCCGGGTCTCTTCCGTAGTTTTTGAGTGAAATCAGTTTGCAACATACATTTACATTCGTTTTTCTCATCATCCCCCGAATCTTTCGCATTTATAATATTAGTAGGACTTACATTTCAAGACTACAGCATGGAGGTTTTTCCATCCGATGTCCTGCGCTGAGGTGCTGGTACATGTACTGTCCCGGGACAGTAGGGTATGGCGTGCCACCCAGCGTCATTATCTCCCATAGTAGCACACCAAAGGACCAGCTAGAAAAAAAAAAAGAAACAATATTTAAAACAAAATGGACGTACAAGCTATCTGCTTTACGCGCTAACACTTCCAATGAGAGATGATTTTTCCTATCAAAAAAAAACAAAACATAAATATGGCTGATGTATACAACTAGAAATAAACCGGCTTAACCTTAGGATTGCTCACGCTCAACTAGTAGACAGAGAGAAACTGTTTAAAAGAGATGAAAGCCCTTCTCCCCAGAAACGATAGTGGAAACAGTTTCCTAGAGAATAATTCAAAATTTGGCTAATACTATGCAAATTTAAGCACCGCCTTAGCTGTATATAATCCGTAATACTTATACTATTTACTCAAGGTCAAGTTTCAAGTCGCAACAGGACTTATTAATTAGCAGCGTACGCATCGCCGCGAATCCACGCGAGTAAGTTCTTTTCAATTAATATACTATTAAATTCTTCTCACAATATTATTGCAATAAATTTTATATGTCTCATCATTGAAAAAAAACTTACACATCAGTCTGAGTGGTAAAAACTTTATGGTACAGCGACTCTGGTGCCATCCATCGTACTGGTAGCCTGCCTTCCGTCTTCTTCCTATAGTAGTCGTTGCTGTGGACATCCTTAGCCAGACCGAAGTCAGCTATCTTGAGGATGCAGTCGTCGGAGACGAGGACGTTACGAGCCGCCAAGTCACGGTGGATGCACTGTGGAAAATGAAATTGGATTTTTCAGAAAGATTTCGTAAAAAAGGTAGGATGGTGAAGTGCCCACTGCTGAGCAAAGGCCACTTTTCACATTGAGAAGGTTTGAGCTAATCACCTCGGTTGGTCAAGATGGATTGGCCATTTTAAACTTATAGTAAGTCAATTTGTTAGTCCAGGTTTATTCACAATGTTTTCCTTCACCGTATGTCAGTGAAAAAGTCTCATTGGAACCTCCCTGGTTTCGAACTCGCACGCATCCGAAACGGGTGACTTAATCTTGAAACCACCACGACACTAATGCGTTGACCAAAAGGACGATTTCACACTTTTCATGAATATAACACCTAATAAAATCAATATAACCCCAGACCTGATGTTCTTCCTGACTAAGCAGACAGAACAGAATAAATGAATAAATATTAAAATGCGTGTCTTACCCGTCTGGAAGCTAAGTATTCCATTCCTCGAGCAACTTGATATGAGAATGAAACTAAGTCCTTCTGTGTTAGTGTTTTCTTTTCCTTCAAGTCTTCTGTTGGCGACTCGTATCTGTAATTAAAAATAACATCAATTTTAATTTAATCTTTACTAGGTTAAAATCTTTACGTATTAACAGTAATCAAAATTAGAAAGCGATGATAATCGTTTTATAATATTTTTCTTAATACCATCGAACGCCTGACAAAGGCCATGAAGCGCACTAATGAAATTTAAGACGCAGCTTTCATTTATTATAAGTCCCATATAGAAAAGCCTGAGTCTACTGGCTATACATTGGATGTAATTCCAGACAAATGAAGATTATTTTTCAAACCGAAAAAATACCTCTTTCCCTAACCGAAAAATGAGCACTTCTACATTTTCCTTACATACACAATGCAAAGGCACACTATTGAAATAATCCAATTTTTTATTCAATTTCAATTATTAAAAACCCTTACCTATTTCCAGGTCGATGATTCCTTAGGAACTCTCTCAAGTTTCCATTAGGTGCGTATTCCACGATGACGTAGAGTGGTCCGTCTTGTGTGCAACAGCCTAACAAGTTGATGATGTTTACGTGTTTGCCAATCATCTTCATCATCTCCATCTCTGAGACCAAAGCCATCATCTCCGCGTCTGTGTGGCCCTCTGAAAGAATAAATTTATATTTTATGATTTCAGAACCTTTTGTGCTTTTGTTTTTGAATATGCAAACAGATATATATAACAAATGATACTATGGGATTTGAAGAGGTCCCCGAACAACCGATCAATGATCACTCGAGTATAATGACGATCACACGTCTAACGATCTAGGTACTGAAGTTAGATATCAAAGACGTTTTATGGGGTACATTAGGCTTTTGATTTGTATTACAGTTATTTACTCTACTTTTCCCTACATAAATCATCAGATGCTTGTGCGTGTTCGTTCGATGCTGGACCTTGCAAAACTAGAATTTGCCATGGCATGTAAGGCGACTGTTTTCACTAAAGTCAGCTGTTTCCTCACCTACGGGAATAGTGGTACACACAAAACACAACAATCTCACCTTTCAACATTTTAACAGCCACAACAGACTGCATGCCTGGTTTCAATATTCCTATGCACTCGGCTTTAACCACCTTTCCAAACTCTCCCTCCCCTAGCACCTTTCCAATACACAGGGAATCTCTGGGAACTTCCCAGTCGATGTCCATCGGTAACTCATACTCCGACATCATCATCGAATCGCTCGTCGTGTTCTGGACTTGTTGCAGCTTCTGTTTCTCGATTTTTACGACTGGCATCAGCTGTGGATTCGAGATTTGTAGTTAGTGATTTACTGTCTTCTGATTTTACTTTTACTAAGAAAAATATATAAAAGCTTGCTAAATATACGAAATGATTATCGTTTAACCCTCATTACTAACGAGCTAACTCGAGAGAGCTAGAATAGACTCACAAATAATTGTGTGACCATCGGGAGCGATGGCTTAACTTACTATGTGACATGGATGTGTTGCATAGCTATAAAAAATAATTGACCTTGTTTCGATATGGGAATCGAACCCACACCTCACTGAATAGCAGCTGACTATCAACTACTGTCCTAACGTAAAATCTTAATACACTTTTAAAAACCAAATAACAACGTTATTTTCTTACCAAAGCTTCACCCGTAGCAGTAGGTGAGCCATTCATCTGTGGTTTCTCAACAGTGACCTTTTTTGTCCAATGCGTCACTATCACAGCCCTTGCAGTCTCTATTGCTAGCTGTTTCTGTTCCTTTTCCCTCTTCAATTTCTTGCAAATCATCACCACTATGATGGCAGCTACGAAGAACATGGCTCCAAGGACTACTGTCAGTATGTTTATCAGTAATGTATGTTTTCCGTGATCCGGTGCTTCTAGTACTGGGGGTGCTAGAATGGAAATAATTGATTAAGATCACAAAAAGTCGTCTTTATATGTTTCAGGGATCAACGAATTGCTTTAATCCCCAAGCTTGGAAGGCGAGTTAAAGATTGCCATTTATTGTTTTGTTGCTTGGTTTTTGTGAAATATAGGCTCTGAATCTACTGTTTAGATTTAATTACTTACATTCCAGTACAGTCAAATATCCCTTAGCCGTTGTGTTTCCTAAGCTATTGAGAGCTATACAGACGTACCATCCTTCGTCTTCCTTGGTTACATTGTATATCGTCAGCTGTTCTGGTTTGTCTTCCGGATTTTCACTCTAAAATAGTCGTGAAGATCAGCAAAATTTAAGTGGTTGGCTAATAAATAGTTAGATGACATTAACAGATTACAAGAACATGCTTGTTATCAATTCGATTGGAGAAAATAAGGAATTGTTGATATAGGTCATGCTGCAACTATGAATAGTAAGATCTTCTAATAACTATCGTGAGACATACTAAACTTATTGAGAAAAACGCCTTACTTACGTTAACGCGAATTAACGTGACAAAAGCTCCACTAGTTTCAATATGCGAAAAGTCGTCGCAACGCACACACTACTCGTGAATAAGAGTCCGATTATGACTTGAAATTAGTAGAGCTATTCCCAGTTAATGCAAAACCAATTTTCCACTTTCTAAACCATCTATGACCTTTAGAGCATCAACGTCTTTCAATTATGATTCGCAAATATTTTGAGCATATGTAGTATTTAGGTAACATAAGATCCTACCATAATCCAACATTAAAACTTAAAAACTATACAACCATGCAAATAACCCATGCGTTAGTGACAATGCCCTCACCGTGACTACTTTATTTTTGTCGTAGTAGACCATAGTCTGTTGGAGCTTAACATCGGAGGGGTCAACCGTAACATTGTTGATGTTCTCGTCTCTTGTAAAGTACATCCAATAGACTGACGGATGCATGTCAGTGAGAAACTGACAACTGAAACGAGCAGTTTCCCCAACCAACACAGTTTGGTTGTCTGCCCCTGCTGTCAGGACAGGCTTCGCGTAAAGACGCTCTATAAAAAAATTGGTGCTGTTAATTTTTTGTGTATGTTGTCTTTCAACTATTGTGGCGTCTTTTAGTCTTTTGTTCTTTTCCTGGTGTTCGATAATGTATTTAGATTGTATGAACTATGAAAATTATTCGTTCTGTATTTATACATTGACTTTCCAAACCTTTTAAACTAGCTAAGCAACTATTAATGATATTACTGAAATCTATATTAGGAGACACATTCCATAAACATTCTTTCTTTCTAAAAAACAATGAACTAAAATAAAGTTGGAATCGCAACACTTCTACGCTAACAGCTATGAATGGAATTTCAGTCTTTATTTTATTCGTTTTAAAGTTTATATTTGTATTGAATCAAATAGCTGGAGCGTTTGGAATGCCCATCGTTTAAAGCCGACTAACTACTACTGTTAGCAATGCGACCTTTTAAAAAAGGAATATAATGTTTACTGTAACAAAAGCTATGTACGGAATTGTTCAGACACCTAGCAATGAAACAGAATTAAATGTGATTAACATTAGCCATCACCAAGTTTTTATACCATCACCAGTAATTAATAACGATTACCTTAGTTTGACAGGTAAAGTAACAGCACTTACACCTTAAAATTTACACTAACAAGAAGAAAAGAAAATTAGAAGAGAGATAGACAGAAAGGAAACAATAAACCCACAGAATTAGATATTCAAATCCATTAGATTTATACAACTTTAAGCATCTTACAACTATAACAGAATTCTATCCCTTCATCCACATAGAGTGATCCAACACCATCGTGATATAGGACCACCACCGTGAAAAAAACATTGTATAAAGACCTCTATAACATCTCCGAATGGTATCGGCATATCGCTTGGCCCAACTTCGGCGTCATGCACCGTATAATTCGTGGGTCTGATCCAGTATAAATAAGGTTCCAAATCGGATACTGGTGGACAGGATAGTGTCGCTGTCTCGTTCACCAAAACCGTGACGTTACCAGGATATCTTTCCTTTATGTAAGGTTTCGATGGATAACGTTCTACAAGACACAGTGAAGTATTGGAAAAATGATACACGATAAGACAAAAGGAATGTAGGTAACGATTACAAAGTATGAATCCATGTCTCGATGGTATTTAACAGCTTACTTGGTGTTGATATACCAATGATAGATAACATAAGCATTATTACCTATCAGATGTCGATCCAATATTTATTTGGTCTTCTTTTATTTCATAGTGTATTATGAATAACTAGGAGCTGGTATTACGAATAAACTTACCTTGAACATGCAGAGCCAGTGTATGCTCAATGCAGCCAAGTATATTACAAACGACACAAGTATAATTTCCATTGTCAGCTTTGGTCAACTCCTCCATACCCATCGACCACTTTCCATACGATGGCTGGAAGAACATCCTAGATATTGGTGTACTTTTGTTTTTGTACCAAGTTATGTTCGGCGTAGGGTTCCCTGCAAATGTTTTACGATGTAATAAACATGCTTCTAACTATTTCTGTGTAGCTGCATTTAAGTCTGTAGTGCTAAATAGAGATGCAGACTGTTTGGGGACGAGTGTTGTTTGCTTTGCTACTTTAAATAATGATGTATTCCACACAACATTATTTTTAAACAAATCTATTTTTGCTCATGGTCGATATTTACATACATATTTCATACAGGGACCAGGAAATTTGATAAACCAAAAAAAGAATTTGGTTGATTACTTAGTTTTTATGCTCAAAAGTCCATTATGGTCAAGACATGGTCTATTCGTAAAATGAATTGTGAAAAAAAAACAATAATATTTATATAGAAAAACATCCAAATGTCAACTATAAACTGGATCCAAATTATGAATCTGAACACATCACCAAAAATAAAAACACTATAGACAAACGATACTGTTACGATCCTTAAAATATCCACGAACTAATAAAAATATTTATTACCTTCTGCAGCGCATCGGATTCTTATGGAGTTCCCTGCAGGTTTCATATCCATGTTATATAATTTCGTGGGATGCTTGAATCGAGGCGGAAAATATTCTTGTTTCTCATCTATATGTCCGTAATTTGGATGATCTTTCTCCCCTTTTTCATCTGGATCGTCGTCTTTACTATATCGTTTGCTATCAGTTGCGTTTTCTTCAAGCGTATTATTGTCTACTAAAGCTGCCGTTCTGATTTGTGAAAGGCTTTCTGGAGGTACACTTTCTCCCATATCGGCTTGGAAACCTGGTATTGAAAATTTCGATATCTATTATTTAATGGTAAAGTTTCTATTTCTATGTTAATCATTATAATTTCTGTGATATAGTTAAAATCATTGTTAAAGCCAAGGCTCGACCGGTATTAAATGTCTAGGGCATTAAGTCCGCCCATGTACCCATTGTTCATGAAGTTTTAATAAATAAATAAATATAATTTTAAAAAATTTTAGAGTGCAATGTCCTGAAAAGCGTTTCTTTAAAATCAGAATAATAATATTTAACTCGGGAAATGTTAAACAGAATCCAAACACGACAGGAAATGGTTGTATATTTCGATCAAAATTTAAGTGCATCATGTCGACAAAAAATTAACGAAGTATTTTAAAATGTGAACGTTGTGTACATTTCTTCACTGCACGATATTGCAACCCCGGAATCCGTTTCTCACTGTTTACACATCTGCACGACCAATAAAGACGCTAATAAAATATCATATTAAAATAACCACGAACGAACAGGCCAAAGACATTGGAACTGCGATGTTTTTAGATCCAAGTTAAGCGTTTGACATTGAAGATTGGGTTGCAAGATTCTGTTTATTGTTTACAGATTGTACTATGAGATCGCAAATTTCGTGGAAAATTTTCTTAGTAAGTATTATGTTTATGTGGCTATGAAATGGTTTCTCTTGAATGTTATGTTTCCTTGTTCAATTTTATTATCGTCTGCAGTCTAGCAGTCTTAGTAGTCTGTCGATATTTTATGAAAAAATCTATGAAATAAGGACAATTTGCAGTCAAAAAGACAACAAATATTAAAAAGTAATGTACCCATCATTTAATTTAACGTTACTTCTGACATTTCGGATAAAATATTGAATTTAAGTGGTTAGTCTTAAGAATCAGTTCTAATTTTATGTCATTAATAAAATTGGAAATATTTGACGGAAAGTAGTTATTACGACACAAGATTCTATTCAATACCAAATGTAAGGAAAATTGTCGTTTCTGACATTTCGGAGAAAAAAAGATAATAAACTAGTATTTACGTCATTTACAAAATCAGAATAACCATAACCATTTCACAATTTCCATATAACTCTTAACAAGTTTAATTGTAAAGGCAATTAATTTTAATTGTTCTGCCAGATAATTCAATTGTGATTTATGTTGAAGACGAAGGATTATTATGAAAACATTTAATGCAGGTTTAAGCAAACAAAAAGAAGAACATTTATCGTATTATTTTTCTTTAGTACATCGTCGCTATTCAACGAGTCATCCACTACTGATCATAGACCATCTATTGGGGGCAAAGTTCTTATCTCAACCCCAGTAGTTGATTTACCATCTAGTGTCCTTTTGTATTTGTAAATATCTTTTAAAAAACTAATTGCTTCTTCTGCACCAGAATGTCAAAGAACATTATCATCATCAAATTCATAACTCACCTTCAAAATCTTGAGTATTGTGTTTTTGGCTGATTCTTAATGAAAATTCTTTGGCATCATCATTGTCGACTTTGCATGAATATACTCCTACATCTTTGGGTCTGAATGATTTTATCCTCAACCTGAAACCAAGAATGATTATTATAAACACTTTTTCTGTACACATGCTTGTCTCAATTGCTTTTAGAGGGACGCCTTTTTTTAGCCGCAGTCAGGGCTTCTGTTTGTCTGTAAGAGACCAGCTGGACTTTGCTTGTCTATATTGTCTTGTCTATGTCTTCTTAAATGATCTCGGGATCTCCAGCCTTTTATATGGTGATGCGATTTTCATACATATATTTATAATAGCTACTTAATACTTCTCTTAAGAGTATAAATTAGTTCACTATTAAAGGAATTATTTTATCATAATCTATGTAGAAACCGGTAATACCGGAAATAGGTTGAACCGGGAAAACAAGCAACGAAAATGACTCCCTACCTCAAATCAAAGTCACTGACATCAATACGATAATTTAACCAGGAGATAACTAACGAACGTCATATATTTTACGAGATTTTCACGCCACGCCATACGCAGCCAAGCACTAAGACAAAAATAAACTACAACGAATTTTGGCAAAGAATGTAAAGAAACGAAATTTGGTTCAAATTACTGAAGTTGTTTTAATATGTACAAAATGTTGTTTTAAATTTCTTTTAATTGTTGGCTAATATTATTTTAGGGTCCCGTATACGGTGAAACGAGACTTTTTTCTAAGACTTCTTTACTTATTTGTTTCTTCGTCTGTGCGTTTGTTACTCGCATGTAACTCAAGAACAATATAATATTAGATTATGTTCTTCAAAGAGTAAAAGTATTCACAATTGACGCATTTTCGCTGGTTTGTATTACAAATAGTAAAAACAGAATATTTTTTGTGCCAAAAAGGTGTTCGAACGCGGAACCCTTCGTGCAGTTGACTCGCTCTTAACCTGTTTTTTTTGTACATTCCAGACTTCATAATTTGTCTGCAATGATTCAAAAAAATGGGGTCAGTGACCGCTGGTGGGATGGAAAATGAGACACGGATTTCCTCGTTAATAAATGAAATTAGGTTTCGTGTGTATGTAACAGAAAAATGAAAAAGATAATTTTTTTTTAAGCTTTGGGTGTAGCGTTGGACTGATGTTATTTTGACATTTTTGGTTATAAACTCGGTATAAGGTAAGCGAGCGCAATAATGTTAGTACCGCGGTCCCAAACTGTAGTAGGAGAAGAACCGGGTTGATTTTAAGCCAGTCATATTCTGATACTCATCCCGAACCCGATCCCCCTCGGCTGGAAAAAGGAGAAAAAGAATAAGACACACAACTCGCGCAGACAAAGCTGTAAGTTAAACCTAACCTAACCTAAACTATAACATAAGATTTGATCGACGTTATGTTTTGAGGAGCTTCAAATAGAATCACATTATTCAACTTGCATTACTAGCCGTGTTGGTATTTTCTGTAAATATTGCTACTCGATACATTGCTGTGTTTCTATCGCTCTATTTCTGTGTTTCGTGAAATTCCTTGTTTATTGATTTAGTTCGTATTTCGAATTATGTTGGGGTGAACTTGGCTCTGTTAATTGTTACGTTATTTTGTTTCTGTGATTGTTTTGTAGCGTTTTTTATTATGTTACGTGTTGATCATGATGTTTAGTTATTTTCTTATTGGTTGCTTGATTTGTTTATGATTGTGGTTTTTTTTTTTTTGATCATGGAATTACTGTTGTAATCGTATCTTGTCCACCATTTTTTTTAAAAGAAACTTTTCTTTATCTTCTATGTAAACATGTTAGTCTCTTACTGTGTCAAAATCACCGCATTCTTTTCTAATAAATTTAAAATAACATTTTTTCACATAATAAATTTGAAGAGCTTGTTCGTTTGAACGCCTTTTCTCCGAAATTACTGGTTCGAATTGAACAATTATTTTGTGTTAAATTGTCAATTATTTGAGTAAGGCACTAAGAACACGGTTAGTCTACATCTCTGTTAACTCTGAGTCTACTCTCTCACAAAGGGCCTGCTGGAAGAGATTTCAGAAAAAAAGCTGTGCCTTTGTACCTAATTGTTGTTTTATTGTTCTTGTCTTACTTATTGTGTAAATTAAATATTAAATAAAAATAAAACATCATGATACATCCAACGGTAGCCGTACCGCAGGTGTGACAGCGCAGAAAAAAAAGAAAGAGAGCTAATGTGTAACTGATACCATATTTAAAAATATTACATACCACTGTTTCGTCTGCACTAATCTGCTTCTCTGGGTGTCAATGAGCACTCCATCTTTGTACCAAAGCACGGAAGATTTCTCAACGCTCGGCTTCAGACCACACGTCAATCGTAATCGCTCGTTTACTGCCACTTCTGTATGCGAAAAGTTTTGGTCTGTAACAAAAATAAAAGATAAATTAGTTTAATTTAAAAAAAGGACAAAATTATGCATTTATGGATAGGATGGCAAATGAACCGACGAGGGGTCGACCTGATGGTAAGCTATCGGCACCAAACATGGACACTCGCAAAACCAGAAGTTACAATTGCGTTGAGATTCTTACGAGGATGATGATTGTTATTATTTGGGGATGGGATGAGTAAGAAGGATTGGTCTTCCGAAAACCTCATGGTGTTATTTTATGATGGTTTTCAGCGCAGCCGTGGTATAATTCTGTTTGAGCTGGCCAATTCGTGTCGAAGCATTGGTATCCAACACTTTGATTTTGCGACATTCATGTATTATACGATATGAACTGAGAGAGAGAAAAACTTAGTATTCTTATTCTTTCTAGCAAAAAGTGCTATATAAAACTTATCGCAAACCGAAGATTTTGACAATTTGTATAAGATATTAATGGCTGATTTTTCAATGGTTGGTGACGCGTCAGAATGTTTGTATAAGACAGTGACAACAGCAATTTTATTCCTCAGATAATATTTATCTGACTATTGAAAAATCAGCCTTTAATTGTAAAAGTTGGCAGGTACCCAACAAATAATAAATGTTCAAGAAATATTTTTTCACACTTATAAAAGGCACAACCCTACAACAGCCAACGATTACATTTAACAAACACCATAAAATAACGAGAATAAAGTAACCCTTTAGCGCACTGTTCTCAGATCATAAAGCAAACCCTTCAACGCCTGCTGAATGTCAATAAGACCGTTGCAAATTTAAAAAACAAATCGTGTATATATTGAAGATTTTAAAAAGTGTACACTGCCCTTAAAATGTCGATTAAATGAATATCATTGACTTTTGTTAACAATAAACCTTGATTTATTGTGTTTGTTTATGTTAAGGGCTTATTTGAAATTTATTAAGCTTGACAGTGATGTATTTATAGTGTAAGGCGCTACTGTTTGTAGTTTGTATTTGCGAATATATTTTTAATATGTATGCTCTTATGGGTGAGAGGTACCTAAATTGTGTTATATTTTACTTATAACAGTATTTATAAAAAGGGGCCAGATTTAATCGAAAAAAGTGGATTTTGAAACTGAATCTTTGACTAGCAAAATTCTTTTAAAAGTGTAACATTAAAATACAACTAAAAGTAATTTGACAATTTCATCCTATAAACAGTATTAAAACTAACCTTCCTCAACAAAGTTTGCAAATCAACAAAAATGTTGCCAGATCTAAAAGAAACACTTCGCCACTCCCGAGCAAAATTCACAGCGAAATACAGAAAATCCATTTGCAACACTTGGTCGTGTTAAAATAATATGCAAGTAGGATTTATTGTGTTCAGGTGTCCTGCGTGCAGAGTTCTATTTTTAAAACTCAAACGTGATTTTAATGAGCATTGACGCGTTCGGATTTTATTTTAAGGATTTTTATTGTAACGACTTCAACTTTCGCTCTGCAGTTTAGGGTTATTGAATAGGGTTGCTACTTTAAAATTTTGTAATTATTTTTGACAAGATTTATTTTTATCTAGGCTTTCATTGTTGACTGACTCCAGTTTGTAAGTCTTGGATGGTATTAATATGGAATGGATCATTGAATATAAATCCTCACGCAAGACTTAGGAGGTGTCAATTCAATCATAATAATTATCAACTTGGAATAAAGCCAGAGGAAATCGAAGGTCGTTTCGAGATTTGACGCATATCCTCTAAATAATAGAATTTATTGCGTCACAGCTCCTCTATGACTAATATTATAAATTTGTATTATTTATTCGCTGATCACATCAAACACTTTATTTTTTTTAATTAATAATTGAGTGCCTTCAATGTTCTTTACATCCACTCTTTCTCGAAACACTGTGGTTATCTATGAAAAGTACAAAAAACACCAAGTCAAACATAATATATAATATTATACTAGCGACCCGAACCGGCTTTGTAAGGGTACTAAATTTATCCACTATTTAAAGGATGTTATTATACATATAAACCATCCTCTCTAATCATTCTACAAAAAATACCGCATCAAAATCTGTTATACAGTTTTAAAGATTCAAGCGTACATAGGGATGTAAAGAAAAGACAGAGAAAGCAACTGTTTTATACAATGTAGTTATATTCAGTCGAATTGAAAATCCTCCTTTTTTGGAAGACGGTTTTAAAAAAGAAACATTTTGTACAAATTTGCTCCACTGACTCAATTTCTAACGTCACTATTGAACAATGACTCAACTTTGACGTACATACACTAAAACAGGGACACAAAAGAACAACTGTTTAGTTTTTATTTACACGATGTCGAATACAATTTAATTTACTGGGTTACGAATCACTAGTGTGTAGGTACTTAAAATTGGAACTTTAACGTGTATACGATTTAAAATCTTTGCGGTGTAAAACAGGAAAAATTTTCTATATTTAAAATTTAAGAATAAAAAATAAAATATTGTTTTTGATGCGGAGACGTCAAATATTAACATAACATTATAACATCGTTTAGATAGAAGCATAGATAAAAATAGAGTAACTTCCATATTTAAAAACTTTGACAAGCTCAACAGCTATAGATAATGTGTATTTTTTGGCACAGATAGCCTTTGTACAACCTACATCTTATGAATAATGTTATATCTTCTAAGTAAAATGTTTTAGATACAAAACTTTGGTCAATCAAAGAATAAAACTTAACAACTACTTACTAACATTTCAGATCATAAGAGAGTGTCACGTCTCACCCTGAACCATCAACTTGAAACAATAAAGTCCAAACAGCAATCTAAAAATGAATGGACATTAAAATAAATCCATGACCTTTTATTACTTGAAGAATGAAGTAAGCACTTACGAAAACGTACTATTTTTAAAATACCACTTTGCTTGTGAGTTTCTTCTTACGAATATATTACAATTTTACATTTACAATGTAACATCGCTTTGTTTCGCAAGTGGTACCGTCCGATATTTTAACAGCCAGCCAGATTTGTGACTTGTGAATTATGGCTTGGACCAGTGATGGGTGAGTTTGAAAGATTATTTATCGATATCGATGAAATCTTTGTGTTACTGACACGAACTTATTTGGAGCAACCAATGCACAAAGTTACTTTAGAAACAGAATTTCAAATTTAAGACAAAAAAGAATAAGTAGTAGAACAGTAAGTATTGAACGTTAGAATGATTAAAAATTCAACAACTATTTTTTGAGTACAATCTCAAGACGATACGTAAAAAATATCGACACACCACTTTCACATCACTATTTCTTTTTGCAAGCCCTTAAACCATCGATTTAGTGGTTGCATATGTTGAGCAGATGCCTCATGCACCCATGGGTCAAAAAAACATGGAAAGTCAAATTTCGAGTCGTAAAATATTTTGGTATTTTTAAAAACAATAGCATGAGGTCGTGAGAATGGTCCTTACAAATGACCATGGTGAGTGAAGGATGGGAATTTCTTAAGTAAATTACTTTAAGTTTGGACAAAGGAACAACAGTTTTTTTATTTGTAAGATTAAAGACAATTTGTCGATGTTGATGTTTCAAGTTGGGACGGAATTTGTCTGTTTATAGATGAATTTAATCAGATTAAGTTTTTACATGTTATTTTTTCACGTATATATTCTTTATTTGTGTTCCACCAAACTGTTCTTCAATAAATTAGGTAATGTTAAAAATGCATATAAATCATCACAAATAAAAATACTTTGCTTTTTTTTGTTTAAAAAAGTGATAAAGGTTTTTTTTATAACTACAATCTGTTAGACGTTACATTTTTGTTCAACATTTTCTTTGAATCAAATCAATACTAAAAGACACTGGCTGTAAATAATTAGAAAAAAGTAATCACAATTCTTAAATATCTTTTAGCCTTCACGATAAATCACTGTTAGCAAATTCCGTTTCACAACTTCAAATGTAAATGAACTCTCAAACAAACATATATTATGTATATCGTTTGATGTATAAAAATATACTATGTATATGTATGTAGGTATATACAAACAGTACCTACTCGCTACTACATGTAAAACTCTTTTTGGCTCAGATCCAAACAATTAAAAAATAATATATAATAGTACAAGAGATTCAAATTACATGCTCCGTTTTGTTTAATAAGTACTTTTAATAATAAATGTTGATTTTTTTATAATTATTTTAAGTTATATTACATCACATAATTATCGTTATCATAATGTAATTATGTCTTTTTCTTAAAGTCAGTCCCTCATGTCTGAGGATCGTGTTCACCATCGGGGTAATATCTGGAGCGAATGATCTGCCTTCCCCTGTTTCTGAATTCGAAGTACGATGAATATTTCACTTGATCAGTCTATCTGGTTGGTGAACGACCACGCGATTGTTTGCCTATGGTGTAATTATGTAATGAGATTTATTACACGTTCCTTGGGTTGCGGAAGCAGCAATCAGGCAGTGATAGGAACAGGAGAAGGAACGGTGGTGGTTAGTAGTCAGTAAGACCTCTTTCTTCAGCCGGGGTTGCGGGGTAAGCGCAATGAGGCACCGCGACCTCGGCCTAGAGCAAGAGAAGGAACAGGGGGTTTTTAGTCAGTAAGAGTCTGACACAAGGGCGGGAAAAGTCATTTGACGATTTTCCCCTCACAAAAAAAAACTTCTTTCTTAATCCAGAGTAGGAGAAGACTGATAATGAAGATTTTCCCCCATAAAAATAAGAATTTTTGTTTTGAATAGCTGTCCGGAAAAAAACGTAGTGTCGTCTATGTATACTATACGATTGTATTTTCTTCATGATTTGTAAATATCAATTATGAGTCGTTTAAAAAAGTGTGTCATAGGTGCGTTTACAAACATACGATTTCACATACAGATCCGGAACAACAAGTTGTAGATCACACAAAGAGTTGTTCAGTGCAGGATTCGAATCTGCGACACGTTGCGCGGCAGCCAGTTGCCCAACCACCGCGCTAACCGTGCAGTGTACCTTCATTACTTA